CTGATGATGTTCCCTAGTTGGGTCATGAAACCTCTCCAAGCCAACCACCAAGCTCAGAGAGCCCCAAGGACTCTCCCGTTCAACTCTGAGCGGGACATAGTCCCTTCTTTTGGAAGCTTGCAGTCACTGGATGGAGAGAAAAGGGAGTTTCATGAGGGGAGACTGTGCCTTGGGACAGGTGAACATCCCAGACAGGGAGGAATCCCCCAGACCCAGCCCTGCTTTCAGGGTAAATTGCTTGCTTTTAAGATCCAGAACTTCTAGAAAGCAGTGGCAATGTCATCTCAGCAACCAAGAAGGCAGCCCATCTTTCACCCCTAGTGGCCTTCGCTACCCCACCAGGGGAAAGTAGAGGAACCGCCCGCTGGCATTAAGACTGTCCCCGTTTTCATCACGGCAAGCAACCTTCTGGCCTGATTCAGAGTCGGACTGACTCGCCGTCTTTGGAGAACGCTCTGCATCAGCTGTCTCAAGTCCCCGCAGGATCCAATGGCATTTCCAGCCATTTAACTTAAAGATATTGGGGGTTACCTGCAATGTGGGGGTCAGCAGCTCTGGTGGTAAACAGAATGAATGAGTCCCTTTCATACAGTCAATTGCACTTGCTCTCTGTGCAATTTCACAATAAATCTGACAATTCCGTATGATTTTCATGCATTCAAATTTTTAGGGGGAAAAACCGGAATAGCACAGAAGCCTCAGTTTCCATCACAAAAATAAAGCCCAGGTCTACTTTCCCAGGTTGCCCATGTGGCTGGGGAGTCCTGGGAGTTGAAGTCCACCCATCTTAAAGCGGCCAAGGTTGAGAAATTAACTGGGTTAATGTAAGTCAGCCTTCATCCACCTGGCTACATCTAGAAGTATGAACTTCAATTCCCAAAATCCTCAGCAACAATCCTGTAGTCTGGGGGATCCTGGGATCAGAAATCCACAAATCTGGGGAAGTATCAGTGTTTTTCAAACTTAAGTCCACACATCTTCAAACCACCAAGGTTAAGAAACACTGCTGTAGGC